CCTGCTGAAATCAATCTGGCAATGAGATTTTATCTTTACCAAAGCTGGTACAACACTCTTGACTGGAAATCCTCCCAATGTTTCCTCATTTCCCATGACCAACAGCTGACACATCTCAATCACTGCCTGTAGTTGCTGACTTTCATCAGTGGCTTGGAGACCTTGCAAAAGCTGTTGGGCTTTAGAACCTAGATATTCAGAAAAAAAAAATTAGGAAAGAAGATATTAGAAGACCTAACTGCTCAAGGGAACTCTTATGCTATACTTCTGCCAGAGTGGAAGACCAGAAATTCCTCTGTATTCGTAGTTTCACTTCCTTTCCCTGTCATAAAAAGGGAAGGATAGGAAAGGGAGTCAAAAATCTCACTCTTGGCTGTCTTTCCAGTGCAGACTGGTCAGCACAGGGAGTCCACCACACTGCTCATCATAGCCATCTTGCCAACCTACAGCAGATGCCAGAACCCAAACTACTCCACCTTTATAAAGCAAAGGACTTTTCAACACACTCCCTGAATAATACGGTACATGGAGTACCCACGAGACTCCATCCTCCTCTTCTTGACAGGCAGGCTGTCTTTGTCTCTCCTAGGAAGCCAAACAGATTTGGACTTGAAGGTATGCATCTTATCTAGCTGCATAGTGCATGGTGAAACAAGACTAAGGACCCATGTTCTCACTGACACACTATCTGAAGGAAATCACTTCTATATGAAACCTAAGGCACTTCTAAAACTATAAACAACATCCCTTTGAATTAGTATCTACTAATAGCTTTAAAGCTATCTTAAACATTTGTTTAAAGCTAACAAAAAACCCCAAGGGGACCAGATAGGTCTTTCATCAAGCAGAGCATCATGCAAAAGAAAAAGATAAGGAAGGGGTGATAAGGCAAGAACCCTCCCTTCCCCACCTAGACAAGAACATTAAGACACCCCCAAAAAACAGAAATACGGCTAAAGCAAATTTCTCTTCCTTAGAGGAAGACAAGCAAATTAATATTGTTGACAGTGGTCTGGTACTATAATGACATACAAATCTCCAACATGTAAAACCTTATATTAAACTATGAAGCTAATACAAATATTAGAATTTACTAGTGGCTGAATTCTACTAATCTGGAAGTGGAAAGAATTAAGTCAAATTAGACAAACTTTGCTTACTAGCTCCACTTCCAATTGTCCTGTGGAAGAGCTGCGACATCCGAGGACCAAGAGGGCCAAACAGGTGAGGAGAAAGCCCCTTAGCCTCTAATAGAGCTAAAAGCAAACAGAGGATAACAGCCATTGTCAAAGCTTCTATGTATATTTTTAAAAGATTAAAAATTCCACGATGCTCTAATTTAAGACTACTAGAATTCTGGTACTTTAAGAAAGAGGAGCTAGGATTACTGCAGCTAACTTGATTTCTGGGAGAAAAAGGGAGAGGGGGGAGAG